CGGCAGTTCTTGAGAGCTCTAATCAGTATAGAAACCATCTTATAAGTCATCGTTATCAAACAAAAACAATCGTGACAACCATCATCATCATCAATAATATGGAGACCATCATCATTAAGTTAGTAGGTATTCATGAAAGAGCTGGGTCTTTAGCTTTTTCTTAAAGGTGCAGAGGGACTCTGCAGATCGAATGGAGTTTGGAAGTTCATTCCACCACCGGGGGGCGACAGAGTAGAAGAGTCTAGTCAGAGGCTTAGGACCTGTTGTGAAGGTTGGTTTAGACGCCTTTCATTGGCAGAGCGTAGTGGGCAGGAGGGAGTGTAGACCAGATACAGTTGGTTGGTGTGCTGCTGCTGCTGCTCTTAAAACGGGAGAAGAAGGCGTTGAGCTGCTCTGCAAAGGAGCTAGAGTCTGGGCAGTTAATAGAGGTGGGGTAAAAATTGATGCAGTATAGTATTGCAATATTTTGTGTGGCGATATTATATCGTCTCATGGCGGCCAAGTATCGATATTTTTGATATGATATTTTAGATATGCTTTTTTAATTTGCAACTGCTGAAGGGGTTGCACAATTCATTTTGAACAAGTTGCATTGTTAAGAATTTATTTTAAAGTTCAATTAGACTGAAATACAAATAAAAAGACTGAAGTGAGATGAACAGACTGGAAATCTTTCCTTATTTGACAAAACAGTTTTTGATTTAGTTAGGTGTAGTGGACATAATATGCAGTTAAAAATCTTAATCGCAATATATTGTATCGCAATCCTCAGCGTATCGCAAAATGTTAAAAATCGCAATAGAATCGTATCGTGTCTCGAGTATCGCGATAATATCATATCGCTGGGACTCTGGTGATACCCACCCCTAGCAGTTAACCAGTGCAGGTTTGGGGTTCTTCCCATCATTGTGTGTAAACCCTGCCACGTCTCCCTTACATTTCCAGAAGTTTATTTCTGCTCCATCCTGTTTCTGTAGTTGTTTCTCCTTCTGAACCCTTTCTCTACTTCCTTTACCCTGAGATTGTCAGGGTAAAAAAAAGCCCTTTTCTTCTGGACCAGGCAGAGTTTCATGTCTCTGTTACCCCTTTTTTATTGTTTGGGTGGATGGTTTGAGTGTTTAGTGGGAGTTACAGTGTCCTCACAGATTGTAATATAAGAGGTAAACATCTGCCAACATGTTGGGATCACTGCCGCAGTCATTAAAGAACAAATCCCAGTCAGTCAGTTCAAAACCACCTTTTTACTGTTTCAGTTGCTTCTTTATTCCAGACTGATGGTTTTTTTGATGGGTTTACCTGTTTTCAGTTGTGACCTGTATCTTGGCAGTAACAACATGACATTGTGGTCAGAGCGGCCAAGAAGTGGGCTTGGTTTTGAAATGTATGCATCAGAGATGTCTAAATAACCCTTCTTCATATTTCCCCTATTGTGTTTACTCCCTTGGATTGCCACTTGGTCCAGTATACTGTTCTCTTTCAAATGCGTAAATTAGGGTTGTACCAGAATGAATAGTATAATTGATTGGATTGTGATATTTTATACTTTCTATGAACCATACTCCACACACACTTGAATAGGGAATTATGGGATTTAAATAATTTTCCACCAGTTGGGATCAATCTTATCATCCATCTATAGTACGACAATCACAGTGACTATTTGTACTCGTCAAAATAGCATAAAGATGACTTCAATTACACAGTTAGGCTAATCGCTGTCTGCGCAGATGTAACGCTTAGCAATAAATATTTGTGTGTGCATTGAAATAGATTTGTGAATCCTTCTGTGTTCATTCATGAACAATGAGGCTGATTTAACGCCATAGAAAAAACCTCATCACCTGATATGGCATATTCATAATAAAAGTATACATAACAAATGAGGACTTTTATTGTGAAGAACTTTCAGGACATTGTACACAATGCACAATGTTTAGGGGAGCTACACTCAGCAGTGATTTTCAATAACACAGCAGGGAGTTACAGCACTTTCAGCCGACCTTGTGACCACAAGTCACTGCCACAAGTCACTGCCACAACCGGCAATTTTAATCATCTTGGACTGAGGACAAGTGGGACATAATTTTAAACACTTCCTATGTCATGAGTGTGCCATGTTTTGGATGGCAGCTACGAGCTAAGCTAACTATATCAGGTTAGTATCTTGGGTTCTGACAATCAGTGAATGGTACCAAAATGGCTAAGATTTTTGAGCTGAGACTCCACCACCAGAAAAGTATATTGCTGCCCTATTAATAATAAATAAATACTGACAATGTGACATGCTTGAACAATAAACAAACAACACAAATACATATACTGTATGGAAAAATAAAACATTTCTGCCAAATTAGCCGCATGGCAAAAAGGCAAAATAAATTCCCCCATTAAAAAAAAAAAGAGAAAGAAAGGGAGACATGGCCATTATCAAGCTCTTTGCTGTGCCACCTGACATACCTGGCTGTACTCCTGTCATTGGCTGCTCCTTTTTCTCCCTCTCATACCTGAGAAGTTATCGCCACCTGCTGTTGCAATTTCGTCTTCCCCACATCTTTCCAGAATTAACTTTTCAGCTTCCGTGCTGTGGGAGAGGGATTTTGACTTTTCAGCCAGTTTTCTTGACATGTCTGGGAAGAAACAAACTTCACAGCCATTCCACATTACTCCTATTATTGCCTTGGCCGCTTGTAGCATTTTCTCTATTGCCAAGGGGTGCAGGAAACGCATCTTCACCATCCTGGGGGGTCTGTCCTCACTGCGGGTACTTCTCATGTCTCTTGGATGCATGGAGAGACGCAAGGAATCGAAGCCGAAGAGAGAGGAACGTCACGTGAAGCGATATCTGTTTGTGATGATGAAATCAGCTGATCACCACTCAGCTTTCAGTCGGCTTTAACAGCTGTTTGTGTCTGCTCACATGTGCACTGCATTAATTCTAATAAAAAAACACACAGTAACAGTGTTAGTGTCTGTATGTTACCTGATAACAACTGCATATGAAGAACAACCTGCAGTCTGTTAAAACATACGGGCCATTTCTACTATTTACAGTATTTACCTTACTTATATGAAACTTTATTAACATAATAAATACAAGGCTTGTTTCTGACTGACACACCGACTCCAACTCTTGTCAGCCTGTCATTCTCATCATAATAGGATAAAATACTGACTGACTGACAATGGAAAGAAAACATTTCTGTTGTAATAATGGGGATTGTTTATGATCTTTTGATTTTGACACTTTAAATTCACCATCTTTTGTTTGATGATGATTCTGAAAACAAATCAAATATAAAACTGGTGGGGATTGGCCTGTAGGCTACTCCATTATATTGATTTAAAGGAATTTATGCTGAATATATCGTTGTTAATCCTCATTTTTTTTAATCCCTGCTAATCACAGACTGACTCTTTAGAAACTGACATGTGTTTACAGTCTGTTAAGCGTCTTTTTAATCTAATTCTTTTCTCTGTTATTAAACTCAGCTAATGTTGATAAGTTTCATTGGAGTCTGATCCGCTGCAGCGTCCAATCCATGAGTGATATTCGATACGGGGGCGTGTCTGTCAGTAAAAAGACGGTCCAGAGTTATTTCCTTGAACCTCATTCCTCGATCCTTGCTCCTCTGTCAAAATAAAAGACTTCCATCCTTTAACATGGCGGCACGGAACGACTTCCAGTTCTTGCTTGGCACTCACGTGACATCAGGGTGGCATGGAGTAGTCTCTAAACCAAAAGGTTGGAGGCTTGATCTCCCCTGCTTTGTTGGTGGCGTATAAGTGTGTATGACGGTGTAAAAGCACTTTGGGTAGTCAGAAGACTTGATAGTAAATGGACTTGAGCTTGTACAGTGCTTTTCTAATCAGTTATTTTTAACGTTCATTTAAAAACTATAGTAGTAAGATTTTGCCACAATAAGGACATCAATTCAGTATTTATATTGCACACAAGTATTTTAAATTTAAAATGATTTTATTTTTAGTAGATTAATTATAAGCCTTTTTCAATACTCTCTATATTTAAATAGTCGAGGCTTTTTGACTGGAGCATAAAAACTCTAAATGTCTTTACCCTTTAATTATCATTAAGTAGTCTATAATGCGCCCTGTGATACATCTCAAAGTACGTTTGAGCTGTTCTATTACACACCTAAATGCTGTTCAGTTAAAGTGAGAACTTTGTTTGCTTAAAATGTTAATTTAATATTATTAATTTTAGGGTTGTTGGGAGGTTGTGTGTGACTACAGTAATTGTGAGAGACAAGGGAGGACAGTAGTAAGTAGACAGTAGTGTCGACCAGCGGCAAGATTCAACCCGCACAGGTGCGCTGGACATCTGAAATGCATATGACCGTTACAAATGTACCTCCATCTCTCTCTGAAGAGCAGACTGAACTATTTCTGCACCCAAACTTGTCTTACATGTTCCTTCCTTTCTGCGCAAAACATTAAAATCACAATTTTAACTGACAACTACTTTGTTTATGAATAGCTTAAAATACACTGTAGGCCTATTTCAACACACATTTTATGCAGGAGGCAAATATATTCATAAAAGAATATTATTTATTATTGACTGTTGGCAGCCACACTATAGGACTACTAAGGGCTGGCACTTAAACTCCACACAACACTGACATTTACCCTTTCTGTGCTGAACTCCAATAAATAACAGAATATCTGTTAATGTAGGCCTACAGCTGCTTGATGTTGTTTCAGTACTGAACTATAACGGAATATCGAGTGGAACTTTTTAAAAGACGAGGCGTACCCTTGTTGTTTAGGTCAGTGTGATTTTAATGTTTTGCGCAGAAAGGAAGGAACATGTAAGACAAGTTTGGGTGCAGAAATAGTTCTGCTGGTTGACACTACTGTCCTCCCTTGTCTCTCACAATTACTGTAGTCACACACAACTTCCCAACAACCCTAAAATAAATAATATTAAATTAACATTTTCAGCAAACAAAGTTCTCTCTTTAACTGAACAGCATTTAGGCGTGTGATGAAATGCTGCATAGCCAGAATCAGCTCCCAGCCCCTCTATCAGGTTAATCCATGTTTGTGCCTTCAATCTTTTCTACAGGAAACCAAGGATCAACTCCCAGCTTGTTGCTCAGCAGGTGGCTCAGCAGTATCCAATGCCCCCCCCACCAAAGAAGGAGCGAAGGGAGAGGAGCGAACGATTAGACAAGGAGCGCCTAGACTGCGAAGGGGAGCCAACCAACGAAGAAGGGCGTCCAGAGATCGAGCGTCCAGAGGTAGACAGGCCAGAGGTAGACACTCCTGTAAAGGAAAAGAGTGACAAGGAACAGCCAATCAAAGACAAGCCTGATACAGAGAAAGATATCAGCCCAGCTGTTACAAAGAAGCCTTACAGCAAAAAGACAAGGTGAGTTGGTCAGTTTTTACTTGCGTCTGAATGTTGCCTATGTGGGTATTATCTTCACTGGTGTTCTCTTGTTTTTTTTAGAGAGCCATCCCTGACACACCAAGGAGATCGTCAACCGTCGGTCCAACGGTGAGCGTTCGTCGCCCTTGTTTTGGTGGTGTGTCCAGCTCCGTCGCTACCTGTCAGCCCCGTCAGCATTTTTTCAGCCGTTTCGACATTTTGAATCGGCGTCGGCGCGGTTGGTGAGAGGAATCACTCTGATTGGCTGTTTAGATAAACAAATCAGTGCTTGATAAGAAAAACTGAAGTAACAAAAGCAAGTAAACGACTTTTTATCAGACATTATTCTCGACTAGAGGTACCTATATTGAGTGGTGAGTGACAGCGGTGTGAAAATTGTCTTCTCTTATCAAAACAACGGTTTATATATCTGCATTCTTCTCCGTCCTCGTCCTCTTCCGGTGTACCCTTGTTGGAATGAAGATCACAGCCTGCTGGCATGGAGAGTTATTTCCTCTCACGCATGCGCAAGAACGTATGTGGTGGTTTGCCTTTGGCTGTAGTCTTTGTGTTCAAGTGCAACTTTTTGGCCAAGACAAAAGGCGTTGTAAGGCGGCTTTCGTCGCCCCTAGTTCTTTGCCGTCTGCTTGGTGTGTCAGGGCCTAACAGTGTCCTCTACTTCCACTACAACTTCTCTTGGAAGACTTGGAGTCCTTTCATTTCCAGTTCAAGACAGGACTGACAGGCATCATGATGCATTGTAAATGTCTGAGCCACCAGGATGGAACTGTGCTGCTTTTGTATGTGAGGCCAGCACTGTTTGTTTAAATATTAAATAAATCCACCGTAAGAAAGCACTTGGCAAAATTTGGCAACAGTTGAAGGAAAAAACATCATTTAGAAATGCAGAAACAGGCTCATGTTGAACAGCCATCAGCTCGTACTGTACGGCCCAGAGGGAGGCAACGAGAAAGAAAGGGGGAAAGCAAAGAATTAGAAGGTGTGTGATCATGAAATCTACACCAGGAGCTACAGCTCTGTAGCGAGCACTTCCCAAGCACAACACACATTTCTGCTGCTGTTTTAAACACACCTGGTACGCCCAAACTGTTGGATATTTCTTTTCAATTTAGAGATTTATCTCCGATGTCCCTGTAGGTCCGTAAACTAGAGCTCAGGAAAGTGGGACACCGTTTGTCGTGGTCTGATCTTCCCTCCTGTTGGACGCGCGGAGGTGACTTCACAGAGCGCCGCTCCCCAGTTTAAATTTTTTTTTTTTACTTCAGCTTAGCGCGCAAGAACTGCAAAGGAGACCTTGCACTGTGCTCAGCTCATCGGGGCGCAGACACACTCTTGCGCAGAGCAACGCGCGCTACCTTTAAGGGTAGCCTGGAAATAAGGAAATCGAATAATCAAGAATTCTGGATTCTGGAATTCTAAAGTGGTGCATTCCACTTTGCTGTGTTTTCCTTGAGTCACTTTTGTGACTTTGAGGATGCTTCTGGCTTCTTCAATAAACAATGTTTGATCACATCTTCACTAGTGTTTATCCATTTTGTCCAGGCCCAAATCAGACCATCAAAGCCCTACCAGTGACAAACACAGCATACTATTGGGAAAATCTGCAACCAAAACCAACAAGAACTCTTACATTTCCAGGTTTGTTGAACATTTTATTTCTTTGCGTGTCTTTGGCAAAAAAAAATGTTACACACCATAAACAACGCAGCACTTGGTTTTATAGAAACCCGTGCAAGATATTTTAGACTGAACACCAGCTTTCACTTTACAAACATTTGTTCTGACTGATCATATGTCACCAGATGAATTACGTAATTTAACACATCCGACCCCTCATTGAAGGCATCTTGTTGTTGCTGAGACATATATTGTATTGACATGTCTGGCTCTAAACATTCATTTTATCTCTTCTTCCCATGTCCATCAGGCCCAAATTGAAGAACATTGACAGGAGCACCGCTCAGCAGTTGGCTATTACTGTAGGGAATGTGACAGTGATCATAACAGACTTTAAGGAGAAGAGCCGTTCTTCCTCCACGTCCTCATCCACCATTACATCCAGTGTGGGCTCTGAACAACAGCACCAGAGCTCTGGCTCAGAAAGTATAGACAAGGGCTCTTCACGTGCCTCAACACCTAAAGGCGATCTCTCTTTGGGCATGATGAGTCATTCTGAAGCTCCCAGCCCTCCTCCCTCACCCTGCATCACGTTTTTTCTTTTTCCACACTTCTGGACATATGTAGGGGGAGAGATACCGCTCCCATTGCTGCCCTGCCTTCAATCCATGACCAACCCTGGATGCTGACAGTAGCTGGCTGCCCTAAGAGGAACAGTGCAGTACATTTGCCAGAGAAACAAGCACCAAGCTTGGGGAAATTCTGTCATGGTTACACCCATGCACAGGCAAGGAGAGTTAGGCGAAAATAAATAACGCCTCCATATCCAAACTACCTTGCAGTAGCACCCGAACACATGTATGTTATGTTTTATATTTGTATGTGGATGTGAGGCCAAGTTGACATTTTTTTGGTAAAGAGGAATTCTTTGCTGGGCACAATAACCAACATCATTTATACGACTTTTAACTATTATTACTCTTATTTATTACCTGTTGCACCTGTATATTTTGATGTTCTCCTTTTTATGTTTAAGCTTTGCTGTGCAGCACTGCTGATCGTTCATCTCGTCAATGTTTTTATTACATTTTAGAAAAGATAGGACAAGACTAAAGTCTGACAGACACATCTTACATACACACTGGTGCTAGATACACTGTGAAGCTTTTTTGTAGACCTGGGATTTTGCATACACATTCACTCAGCGTGACAAAGTGTTGATGAATCTTATTCTCATTCACTTTGCTCAACAGCACTGTCTCATTCTGAAATTTTCAGGTCCTCAGATATCTGTTCTCTTGTTTTGTACAGGTCAATGTGCATCAAAAGACTGTCACCTGAGGCATACATATCTGAATTTTCAACTAGATTTTCATTGATTTAGTATGCTACAGCAGATCTCCTATACAGTATATGATGTCCTTAACTTTACAGTGTAGGCTATTATGTAAAACACTAATAGCTGTTATGTTCTGCATTCCATGCTAACATATTGAGTTTACAGGCTGAAGTTACTTGAGCTGGTTGTTCTGTTGTGACTGAAGAATGGATACATACAGTTCCACTTGGTAAATCCATGTCAAACTGTTCAAAGGCAAGTTGTCTCAAATTGTAGAGAATCCATTTTTCGATTGTTAAACACAACTTAAATGCCTTACTTGAAAAAAAAAAAGCAACCATCAAACAATTTAGCACAGAATGATAATTCAATTGACTTAAAAATGTTTGCTGTTTAAGACTGGAGTCTTCAGTTATATTTTAAGTAGTAAATAGAATAATTTTTCTTCAATTTTTACAACAGCAAGACATATTAAAGGGATTGAATTCACTTTTCATCATAACGGATACTAGACCGACCTAATTTCCTTTTAAATGTATGAAAATGTATAAAGAATAAATGTGTATATGATATCTTAGTTTTATTTATTGAAGGACCAAAGGAATTTCATATTGACATGCTAAATAGATAACAATTTGAAATGCCATTATCGTATGTATGAGATGAATATCAACTTAAATAAAGACTAATATAATCCATGTAAATGGTGTTCTTATTGCATTATTGGTAATGGAGAACTATAAATCCAGTGAGCCTGAAGACCATTGTCAGCTCTAAACCAAGTAGTGGATCTCTTACCTGAAAGGGCTAGAGATGAGAATCATGACCCATAAGCAGTGTTTGAAGCCCTAAAGATTTTTTCATGATGTATTTCTTCCCATTGACATGTGGTTCTTTAGTAATCAATGGAATACAAATATGGAATCAGAGTTCATGGTCAGGGAAATAATTGAACTTGATATCTGGACTGTTAGCTCGCAGGGGAAATGATTAGTCAAACTTCTCAAATAATTAAAGGCTGCTTTGTTTAAGGATTGGTGCCTAAACACAATAATTTAGCTGACATTTTTGCAACAGAATGCCCTTTACTGAGTACCCAACAGAAAGGCTTATTTGTTAAATTACAAAAAAATAAAGACTTTTAAACTATGTTAAAGAGAAACACTATGAAGGCATAGGATCTGGATTCTTTTGTTTCCTTTCTCCACGCAAGCAGTTTTGTTCTTGTGTGTGACCAGTAACCTTAATTTACTATGTAAAGATGGTTACAATTTTTTTTTTGCTTTGTTTGTAAGAGACAGCCCCCCCCCCAAAAGAATATGGCTCATTTATTAATTTAATTTAATATAATCTTACTACGAATTTCAAATTATTGTAGTCTACAAACTGATTTATTCATATAACACTGTATTTGTACAATGCTTTTAAAGTACGGTAATTGCTCAGTTGAATTTTTTATTTTTTTTTAAAGTTAAGTACAATAATCCATTCTTGTTTAATCCAGGTTTAGTTATCCTTTTTGTGTCATTGCTTCCCTTTGTGAAATGGTCAAATTATGTTTCTGATGTGGAAATGTGCGCAACATTTTCAGTGGATCATGGCTTCTTGTCAGGCTTGTAATGATAAAAATAATTCATGTTTCTTGCATGTGCACGACTGCGCTTAAAGGCTAACGTGATCGTTTTCCTCTGCTTCAAATAGAAATGTCTATTTATGAACTTTGCTTGTAGTTTTTCACAAATAAAATTGTTAAACATACCTTTTTCTGTGCCCTTTGTTGATGCTGTTACTAACAATATACAGTTCACAACTAACCAACTTTAAATAATTTGAAGGAAAATATATAATTGACATGTTCTTTCAATACAATATTTTTGGCAAAAATAACATTCTTCAAAAATTACACTTCACAAAGTGTAACTTTTGGGTTAGATCATATGAGCCATTGTAAAAAATTCCTACCCTTTTTTTAGTAGTACATATAGAAGATACCAGATAAGAGTGGATCTGAGATGGCAGACTATTGATTGAGATAGTGGTGAGGACGCTAGCGTCTCAAACACCACCTTTTCACCAAAGCATTCAGCCTCAGTTAAACTCTTCATTTGTTTGTTTTTGTGTTATCTTCTTTCCTTTGTTTTTCATTTATTTATTTTTTCTTGTCTCCTTTTACTGCCCCCTTTACTACTGTAAAGCATCCTTGGGTTTCTTGAAAGGCACTATATAAATCCAAGTTATTATCATTATTATTATCAAAGACAAAGACTTCACTGTGCAGATACACATGACATTAGTTGACATCAGCCTTTTAGCATGTCCACATACTGAGTGGATACTCAGACCCTCCAGCCAGTCAGTCCAGCCAATGGTCATTAAAAGATATGAAGTACAGAGAAGAGATTTGTTGATGCACACATTTGTTTTGATGACTCAATTTGGTAATAATTACATTTAGATAGTAACAGCTTTTCTGTGTTTACCAACTACTCCTCATTGTTGACAATGAGAAATAGTGTAGAGGACTGATAGAGAACTTCTCCACATTGTAGAACAGCTACCACCTGCAACCTTAACATCAGTAGGACAGAGGAGGAATACTGTCCCAATTATCCAGGGCAGGAGGTGGAGAGGGTGGACTAAAAAACAAGTATGGCAGTAACCAGCTACGAGGACGCCGAGGTGTGGACCTCAGTACATTTTTTTTAAACAAGACAGCAAAAATAGTTACCAATCAATGTATGAAGGGCTAGATGGCTTTTACTTTTGAGATACAGAAACACTGCAAAGTAACAGACCTCCTTGCACTGCCTCTCTTTCTCGCTGCGCTTAACAAGCACCATCTAGGTGAGCAGAGAGAGACAGAGAGAGACAGAGAGCAGTGTCTGCTGTTAAGACTCGTTGAATGTATCTGTTTCAGTGTATGCTTTTCTACTTCAAATGCCGTTCTTTTGTTCTTTTTGCACAGTTGCTTGCTGCCGATGTGATTGTGCGTTCTCTCTTGGTTTTTCTGCGTCTTAATTCGTAATCTCCCCACAGTAGCAGTAGCCCACATGTTGTTACAGGACGAAGTGAAACTTTTTTAAATGGGAGTATTGTTATTCTGCATAAGCCCCCGAAGGCTCAGCTAGGGGGAAAAAAAAGCTGCTCTCTTATTCATTCAAATTTTTATTTTTAAAGATGTATTTTTGTTTTTTTATGCCTCTGTGTCTGTCTGTTAGTCCGACTCTGTCTCTCTCTGTCTCTCTCTGTATCTGTGCCATCAAACTGTGACCCCTCTTAAAACGAAAACAACACCCAGAAAAAGGATAAAATATGATCACTGTATGACCATGTGTCACAGAAAATTAATCACAACTGGATCATGTTTACATTTTCATATTGTTTGCCATTGTCGTACTAAATGATATATCAGCTTTACATACAGGCTACTTGTATAGGCTAAATAAACTTTGCAGGGCTGAAATAATGCAGAAACAACTGTCCAGTCCATATGTTTATACAGCGCTCAATGAATGCATTCATTATTGTGAATAAGACACAAAAAGGAGAAGAAGGCTAGATAAGAATTACAAAGTTATGCAGAAAAGACAAAAACAGGTGAATAATTCTACTCACTGATCCACCCGCCCGTCTGTCCACCATGGGTCCAGGGCCTTCAGCTGCTCTGCCCCC